ATACAATATATTTATAGAAGCTTGGTTTTTTGTCTCATCTTCGGACCAAGCTTTTGGTTACTGGCCCGATTTAATGAACTATTTATTTATGATACTGAACTCCTCAAAAAGGCCTCAAACATGCATTTTGAAAGAACACAGCGTGTAGCATCCAGGAGTAGGTATAAACTTGGACTCGGAGATATAACTTTTAAAGTGCAGATTATCGTTACTAATCTCAATAAAATTCCTAGCCTGAATTTACATTGATTTTGTTAATGCATGTCAGCCACATTGCACCCCTTTCGGAGTTTAACGAGCTATATAAATTGTAATGCCTATTTCGTTATTCCAATAAATAGTTATGCAAGCGTCATAACTACCTAAATATTAACGTATCGATCTTGATATATAGTGCATAGGTGAGTTAAATGCCACATAAATACACTTATTCATCCAACTTCCGCATTCTTTTTTCATTACGTTTTGCTCTTAGCAATTCCCAGCATTTTTTACAATCTTAACATGATCCTTGTGCCACCTTATCATTTTGTATCTTCTCCCTTGGTGCCTCATGAATAAAGATATGAATAAATCTACTATTTTCACTATTCTAAGCTTATGACACGTTAGTGGACAATTAATATAGTTAAAAATAGTGGTAAATAATATGCTTAAATACGAAACAACGTAATCTTTAATGTAGCTGCTAAAATGAGGCCCACGTATGTGGATTACCTAAAGCACGATGACAACATAAATGGCTGAGGGATGGGAATCACAACATTGAGCGTGTTCCTCGGTAATACTTTTGCAGACATTCTAATATATGTTCGGGGCCAAGCATGAGCAAATTATCGAGCATGATGCGATAGCCAAAATGGGGATTCTATTTATTAATAAGTTTGTGAAGCTACCAGTAAATCACACATATTAGATATTCATCCTATTTCGTTTAAGATAATGAAGAACTGGTAGTTGAATTTTCCCACACTTTTAAAAGTAAAATCTCATTTGTATTGAGTTTCACATAACCTTGCTTCTCGAGATCTAGTCACATTCAGAGTAGACTGCCTAGGTATAATCAACACCCCCAGTGGGATGCCACATTGCAACAAGCCCCTTTGGATCACAGGGAAGATGTGAATTTCAAGGATGGCCAAACATTTACCCATGTCACATTCTGTGGCGCGATTGTTAAAAATCATAACGGATTATTGCTCTCAACTAATATTTTTCTTAGCATTTTAACTCCTGATCGTGATGATTTACGTCCGCTAGGCGTATACTACTTTGTACCATTGACTTCATTACTCCTACTTTAACACCTTAAGTGTGATTCGAGAAAAAAACTCGAATTTGTGAGTTCCCTATAGACATACCTACCCGGTTTGCTCACTTTTTTAGTAAGCATGACACCTAAAAAGGGTAACTTTTTTAAATCCATAGTGAATGTATTTGTCCTATCTAATATATTCATTAACCTAGGGAAATATTCAAGATTCTTTTTGCCATGTTACTAGGTAGTCGGATCAGTCTTGTGACTCCGATGGGCTTGTGCTAAGCTTGCATATGGCATATGACAAGCATCATCAGAGCAATAACGCGTACTTTATTAATATATGATATGTGTCCTAGTAGTTAACATGTCGAGATTATACTCTGCACTGTCATGGTTCGAGTTCCGCTGGGGGTGCTGATAAAACCTATGAGAGATCAAAACTTAAATTTACTCTGGATGCGAATACCTTCTGAGAAACGAAGGCTATGTGAAATTCAATGTAAACATCATGTATACTCATATAATTGTGGGAAAATTCAACTAGCAGTCCTTCATCACGTCAAAGGAAATAGGGTGAACACAGCCAACATGCCTGATTTACAGGTAATCTCTAAAATTTACTCAAAAAATAAATACTTTTCAGATAGCTCAACAATATGCTAAGCCAAGAGTAAATGTAGCCGAATACAAGCCAATTCACTTCTCATGCATGAAGTAGCCAGCCGAATGATGGACTGACTCAGTAATATGAAAAATAGGTATAAGAAGTAGGTAGGATTGCAGCCGGCTACCTTTACTCTTGGCTTAGTATAATGTTGCGTTATTCTGTAAAGTATGGTTTCTTGCTCTGATGATGCCGGTCACATGACAGACTAAGGCTTAGCATGGGCTCATTGGAGTCACAAGACGGAGACTAGGATTCCTAGCACAATTCTTTACTTTACAGAAGTCCTGTTTCAGCTTCCGGTGAGAACAATTCAAGAATTCCTTCCAACCACCTTTTCCTTCGAAACGGGAATCGAGTAATAAAAATGCATAGATTAAAAAATGAAGATCAAATAATCTAAGTGACTCGTGATTCAGTGTAAGTGGCAAACTACTTTTGGCACCCCTTTAACTCCTATGAGACAGTGTTCCTTGCCGTGATTTAGCCAATGGCCTGTTCGACCAGTTCGGATGAGTCGCTGCAGCTGGTTTGTTTTGACCCAAATCAACTCGTCAACGCGACGATAGCCCCATAGTTTTAGGCACTCGCGACCTAGCTCCATTGCCCTGGAAAATGGGTTACAAGGCGAAAAATACGACATTTTAGTCCCAATTACGAAAAGCGGGTAAATAATAAAATATATTGATTAAAATGGAGCTATTTACAAAAAAATTCATTAAAAATAGAGAAGCTTTGTTGTTTGACCTTGTTTTGGTAACTTGTTCATATTAATAGAAAAACCTAGAGGAACGCACCTAGCCCGGAGTCTATAGTATGTATGATAACTTCCAGAATTAGACCGTGGACGTATTACACTCCCAGACGTTTCGTCGGCATCGTCAGACAATTGAAACCGATGATTTGACCAATTGTCTGTCGACTACGATGCCGGCGAAACGTCTAGAAATGCACCACGTCCACGGTCCGACTCTAGAAATTATCATGCATACTATGGACTCCGTACTAAGTGCGTTCTTTTAGGTTTTCCTACCAATATGAGCAAGTTGCGAAAACAAGTTCAAACAACTTCTATACAACGAAAGAAGAATGCAACCATACAAAAGGCCACGCTATCTTGGCCTTCATACCCTCGATAAAGAAACTTAACTCAGGCAAAATATTATTCTATATATTTGGATATTCTAAAAAAATGTTTACATTTTTATCTCGTGTTGAGTTTAGTTAGGTAAAAATAAGGAACTCGATAACTAATAATGACTTTAAAAGCGAAACCGGAGAGAAAGTGAATATAAATTTAGTATTTGTGCCAGGCATAATCACTGGTGCGT